CACCTCCTCTCTCGGCTCCTTGCAGCCCACAGGTTTATGGAACGCCTGTTGTATGCAATCACGTCTCCACTCAACCCGATCTAAGGGGGCGGGTCCTAGGCCAGGGTGTGCCAGGGGCTCCTGAGATGGATCGGAGGGACCACGTCCCTGTGCTGTGGCCTGGCCAGCCTCCGGGCCACAGAGCCCTCTCCGCCCTGATCCTGGCCCCGGGAGGAGATTGTACGAACCCCACCCCAGCCCCCGAGGCAGCAGGGCCTAATGGCAGCTGGTCCCCCTGTCCTCAGGAGAGATGTGCGTTCCTGACACCCCAAGGTCCCCCCCCCCAGGGAGATGGTGGGTGTCCTTCCCAGCAGTGCGACTTTGGACCCAGTCTCTGAACCTCACCAGGCCTCAGACCCCTCAGCTTTAAAGGGGAGAATCATCCCAGGTGGTAGATTTGTCTAAAGGGACAAACGAGATAATGGATATAAAAGATGCAGTGCCTACTAGACATTCAATAACTGTGAGGTCCCTTCCCAGAGACACAAACCAAGTTCAAAGGAGCAGCCCCCTGTGGTGGTCGAGACGGGCACTGAAGGGACTAAAATAATGGAGGGGCCTCAGGAAAAGGGGAAGCAAGAGCAAAGGGCTTCAATATTCATCCCCTTCCTTCCTTTGAGTAATATCACCCAGGTTCTAGCTGGCACCCAGCACAGGCTGCACCTCCCAGCTTCCCTTGCACCTGCAAGTGGCATGACATCAAGGTCTGGCCAACGGAGCATAATCAGGAGTGATGTTTGCAATCTCTGGGTCTTCCACGTCAGAGAGTTGAGGCACTTCCTTTCCTTTCCTGTCATAAGGCAGGAGGGTGGTCATGACGACCAGAGTGGCAGCAGCTCTCTCGGGTCAGGAGGTGGCATCTGTGGGCAGAGACCAGCAGAGCCTCAGGACAAGGTCTCCCGGGCTGCCCTGCCGGCCCCGCACAATGCATTCTCCGGGAGCTTTGTGAGAAATGGTCTCGTGGCTTCTCGTCTGAGCCACTGATACTTTGGAGTCACCGCTGGCTTCTTAACGGACACAGGGCTTCCAGGCTGCGGCTCAGGGCTGGCACAGGTCCTCTCCGAACTTCTGCTTCTTCATGTGTAAATAAAGCCGTGGCTATAAAATATTAACATAGATATTGAACTTGGCAGCTACTTTTCATTTCTACCCTGCCCTCTGGGCATTTATTGACCTAAAGTCGCAGATATCCTGACGCTACAGAATCTAGAGTTGCACAAAACAGACACCCTATTGCTACTTCAGAAAGTTGAGTGCTGTAACCTTCAGAACCATCAGAAGCTCCCATGCAGATGGACCCTGTTCAGTGCTCCAAGACGCTAAAAATATTTTCGGCAAAATTCAAACTCCGGACGGGCCTCAGGAAAGGAGTCACATCGGTAACCAAGCCCCGCTCCTCCCCGCAGGCTGGTCCTCGCCGCGATTGTTTCCTGTAAAAGGCAATCCTCTAGGAGAATTTTTAGATCACGCAGCACATTTTAGAACGTCTTCCCTCCCAATGCAAACCTCTATCCTGGCACAGACCGGGAGCAGGGTTTCGGATTAAGCTTGTGGGAATGTTTGTATTGCTGAGTCTTTTTCTATTTCTCAATTCTTGGAAATTCCCCACAATGTGATCAAAACTGCTGCCCCCGTTGGCACCAGCTTCCACATGCCTCTTTGCCTCATACTCGTATCTTCTGTTCTAGCATGGTTCCCACACCTGGCTCTCAGGCCTTCTTCCTGCACTGAGCCAAACTGGGCCCTGACACCGAGGCTTCTACAATGGGTGCTGAGCACCTACTGTGTGTGAGGCGCTGTGCTGGGTGCCAAGGATACCACCAGGAACAAGGCAGACATAGCCCTGTTCCCTCTCCTTTAATACCCCCCACCCCTACCAAGCTCAAAGGCTAGTACAGGAGACAGGTAAGGCAGCGTTGTAACTCAGGATGCTGGAGGCTCCCACACAGCAAGTTCAGGGACTGCTGGGCACCCAGAGAAGGGGCCCATACCCTCCTAGGGAGACGGGGAGGGCTTTTCTGAGGAAGTGGCATCTACTCTGAGGCCAAAAGGATGAGTAGAAACCAGTCCAGAGAAGGTAGATAGGGGTAAGGAAGATTCTTCTAGGCAGACTGTATCAGCTAGCTTATGCTGCATGACAAACAGCTCCTATGCCACATGGCTCAAAACAACACACCCTGCATTGCTGCTTGCAACTCTGTGGGTCAGCTGGGCAGTTCTGCTTGCCCAGACCAAGCTCCGTTGATCTCCACTAGGCAGATCCAAGTATGTGTGATTAATTGGAGGGTTGATTAGTTGGCTGGGTGGTAGGTGTACGAGCTCTGCATCCATCACGCTGGCCAGGGCTTGTTCATATGCCAGTGGGATTAGCATAACATCCCTTCCACCACGTTCTATGGGTCAAAGAAAGTCACAAAGGCTAGCACAGATTGAAGGAGTGCGGGAGGCCCTGCAAAGTTACATTGCAAACGGGCAGGGGTGAAAAATTGGGGTTCTTTCTACACCAATCTAACACATACACACGGAGGAAACACAGAGCAAAACCCACATCTCGGTACCTAGCCCCAGAGCAACTATGTGGCAGGTCTGTGGGGGAAGAAGGCTCCGAAAGCCAGAATGAAGAGGTCAAACTTCCAACCTGGGCAGGGGGGAGCCATGAAGAGTGCTAGACAGGGCAGTGACATCTATTGGGCACTTTAGGGCACTTCGATGGCCGCTGCTGCCTCCTGGCAATGGAGAGTCCCCTGGGAAAGTTCCAAAAATAGACTATATAGAGAGAGGAAATTTTAGATCTCTTTTATCTTTATTTTTTATTTTAAAAAATATATTTTATTGATTCTTTACAGAGAGGAAGAGAGAAGGATAGAGAGCTAGAAACACCAATGAGAGAGAAACATCGACCAGCTGCCTCCTGCACACCCCCGCCTCCCCACCGGGGATGTGCTTGCAACCAACGTACATGCCCTTGACCGGAATTGAACCTGGGACCCTTCAGTCCTCAGACCGACGCTCTATCCACTGAGCTAAACCAGTTTCAGCTTAAATCTCTTTTAAACCCATCCCATCCAAATCCTATGTCCTCCTCAGAGGTAATCCCTGCTATTATCTTGGTATAAATTCTTTCAAACCTTTTGTGCCTTTAACACACACACACAGTTCTGTCTTCTTAGAAGTGAAGGGTATATTCCTCAGGTATATTCTGGCACCTTCATTTTCACTGTTCTGTACTGTCCCACTGTCCTCCTGGCGGGCATTGAGGCTGCGATGAAGTTTCGCTAAGATTGCGGTAAGCACACTTGTGTGTAACCTAAGAATTTCTCTGATTTATACCTAGAGCAACACGGTGGGATGTGGCAGGTGTCCATCCTTAGTTATGTGAAATGCTACCAAACTGTTTCTAAAGCGGCTCCAACTCACCCTCCTGATGGCCACGCCTTTCTCCGTGTCCTGGGCACTCCGCATTGACAGCCATTTAAATATGCGTTATTCTACTGGGTGAGAAATACAGCCTCATCTTTGTTGTAACCCCGCTCATCACTGTAAGTGGCTGCAGAGTGCTCTGCAGTAAGGGAGCGATTTAGCCAGGCCCCAAGTGATTCACTTGGAAGTTAGCTCTATTTCACTTTTTTCCCCTCGCTAATGCACTGCTCGGAGAAGGGGAGCTGCTGGGCTTAAGGGAAAACCTTTTCAAAGTTGGCTGCACCCCAATCTATACCCCTGGCAGGGGCAGCGAGGGCCTTTGCATCCAGCTCCCTGCCTCTTTGCCAGCTTGGTCTTCAACTTTTGTCATTTTTATGGGGAAATAATATCATTGCTTCGATTTGAATTTCCCAGAAGGCCAAGGAGGTTGGGGTTATGTTCCTGTGTTTATAAACTGTTCTGTGAATCGCCTATTTATATTCTTGTCCACTTTCCCAATGGCCATTGTTAATTTTTATAGACTTTGGCTGAGCAATTTTATTTTAAAATTACAAGTTGATTAGAAAGCAGTTGTATTTTAAAATTGCTCTTTAATTCCATAAAGATTTCCTTCTATTTTTTTTAAAAAAAAATGTCCTTATTGATTTTAGAGAGAGGAAGGGAGAGGGGTAGAGAGAGAGAGAAACATCGATGAGAGTGAAACTTCAATCAGCTGCCTCCTGGCCCCCCACCCCCCCCTCCTGGGGATAGAACCCATAACCCAGACATGTACCCTGACTGGGAATCCAAATGGTGACCTCTTGGTTCATGGGTGTGCGACCAACTACGGAGCCACATCGGCTGGGGAAAGATTTCTTTCTTAAAAATATATAAAGGCCCTCGCTCGTTGCTCAATGGTTAGACCCCACACACTGAAGGGTCTCGGGTTCAGTTCTGTACTTTGGTCCTTGCCCCGTCTGGACGTGTGCAGGAGGCAACCAATTGCTGTGTCTCTCTCCCACATCGATATTTCTCTCTTGGTCTCCTCCTCCCTTACACTCTCTCAAAAAAAAATAAAATAAATTAAATAAATTAAAAAAAAAAAAATAAGAGTGGCCACAGGTTGGCCTAGGCGCGTCTGCTTCAGGCAACCCCCATCCGTTGGGAGAAAGGGAGGCAAGCAGCCGCCAGGGAACAGGGCCGGACACCTGGGCGGTAGGATCAGATGGCCTCGCCTACACAGCCCAGCTGTGCCCAATGCCCCACCAGCGTCTCCAGCCCCTGGTGGGCAGAGGGTGCAGGAGGGAGCCAGGGTCTCAGCCCCCATCCTCTCACCAGGGGGGGCGGACACGCAGAGAAGCCAATCACTCCTCCAACTTCGCACAGGGGTGGGTGACTAAGCCGGGGTGTCAGCGCCCCATCCCATCCCTCCTGCCCCAGCAGGACCTCAGAGCTCCCACCCCCCCAATCAGGGCTAATTGGAGTCACCGGGCCAGGCCGCCGGTGTATAAGACAAGCAGGCGGGCTGGCGGCCTTATCTCTGCGTCCGTGTCAGCCTCGCAATGGCTCCCGGGAGCTTGGCCTCCAGTGACAGCCTGATTTCCTCGGCCTCGCTGACCTCCAAGACCTCCTCCTCCGGGTGGCCTGGGACCCTAAAGCCCGGTGAGCAAAGCGAGGCAGCTCCTCCCTCCTCCCAGCAAGACCACTCCCTGGGTGTCCCAGACCCTCCCCCCTCCTCCCCCCTCCTCCTCTCCAGCCTGGCCAGCACCCTGCACAGAGGCTGCTGCGTGCAGCTGCCAGCGGGCCGGGGGGGGGCCGGGCAGGGCCTGAGAGCGGAGGCTGCCCGGCCAGGGGACGCGGGCAGGGCAGGCCTCCCCGGCTGGAGCCTGTTTCTTCCCCCGGGAACGCCGGCACCCTCCACAGCTGGTGGAAGGGTCCAGAAAAGCGAGGGTTGATGCGGGGCTGGGCTGTGGATTTAGGGCTGCCTCTCAGTTTTCAATAAACAAGGCTTCAGGGTTTCTCAGGATACAGGGTCCCCGGAGACAGCCCTGGTTCTCTCCCCACAGCGGCTCCCAGTCTGATGGGCCAATCTGCCTCGTTAAGCGGTGCCATTTGATGATGTGGCATGCATGTTTGTTTGTTTTTTAAGGTTTTTTTTTTTCATTTTTTATTAAGGTATTATATGTGTATATATCTTACCATTGCCCGCCCCCCCCATACATGCCCTCCCTCCCCGGGGTTTTGCGTCCATTGGTTTTGCTTATATGCATGTATTATAAGTCCTTCGGTTGATCTCTTATCTCCCCCATATTTCCCTACCCTCCCCGCTGTAATTTGACAGTCTATTGCTTTACCGTCTTTGTATCTATCTTTTTGTTCATCAGTCCATAATGTTCTTTATTACCCATAAATGAGATCACGTGGTGCTTTTCTTTCATTGACTGGCTTATTTCACTCAGCATGATGTTAATTGTGGGGACCCCGAGGGCTGTAGGAGTCCAAGGTGGTCACCCAACTCCCTGCGGGAGGGCCCTCCTGCGCCCTGGAGGAGGTGACCCTGAAGGGAGGGTCAGTCCTGCCCGAGAGGAGAGGGGGAGGAGGGGAAGCTTCCTGAGTTTTTGCAAAGGCTCCTTTGGAGGAGAGGAGGTTCCGGATGCCCCCGGCACACAGGGAAGAGCTGTTCGCTGGGGCTGGGAAGCCAGGGCAGGTGTTCAAATCCCAGTGCTGTGTGAGCCATACAGGGTGAGGGAGAGCTGCCTGGTGACTAAGGAGGAGGCCTCTGCACTGAAGGAACAGCACAGACAGAGGCCCGGGGGCAGCAGTGCGGCAGAGGGTTGGGAGTTGCAGGTTCCCCTCAGCCAGGGGCAGGGCCGGGGAGAACACCTGTGAGGGTGGGCGGGGCCAATCAGACTGGGCCTCCCAGGCTGCTGTCAGGTGCGTCAGCCCTCAGACCGAAGGCAACATGCAGGTGAGGGATGTGAGATGCAGTGAGGAGAAGGGCTGGGAGGGAAATAAGGACACAGGAAGGAGGCAAGGGCCCTGGGGTGCGAGGGGGGAGTGAGGAAGAGGAGAGGCCAGCATGGAGGGGGAGAAGCCTGGGGGAGGGGAGGAAAGGGGGGAGGGGAGATTGTCGGGGAGGGGAGGGGAGGGAGAGTGGGGATGGTGGTGGAGGGGAGGGCAGTCCAGGGTGTCCCCTGGGTTCTTGTGAGGTGTCTGGGAGAGATGCGGGGAGGGAAAAGTGGAGGGCAGGTATGTGGGTGTGTGATTCTGGACATGGCAGTATTAAACAGCTGCCAAACAAAGAGCTGAATCCCATCCCTTTGGGGGTCTGGGAGGGAGGAGGCTTAGACGTGGCTCCTGGGCCCGGCACCGTCTGGGAGAGGCAGGAGAGGGGACACTAAGGCTGAGGACCCCGTTGGAAACCACTGAACACTGCAGCGGGAGGGCTTTGGCCCCATTCCCACTATCCAGATGGGAAGACTGAAGGGGGGGTGGGGTTGGGTAAAACTCCCAAGACCTGGGGTGACTGACCCAGGACACCACCAATTCACAGGCTTTGGTCCCAGAATGAATATTCCCAGACACTGGGCTCTTCCTGGCCGGGAGACAGCAGTGGTCCAAATGGATTAGGTCTCTACAGTTTTGCTCAGGATCTAGAGTTTTTTGGGTGTTGTTTTTTTCTACTTTAAAATGTGTATATATATATATATATATATATATATATATAGCCAATTGATTCCTGAGGTCTTTAATTTTTGCAAGTTGATTAGAAAGTAATATTTCTAATCACCTAGTATTTAAATCAGATTTTCTTCTGAAACCACTTTTTAGAATTATTGTTTAAAGTATATATTACACATCTCCTTCCCCCCCAGTTAACCTCCCCATTTAAACCACTTTTATGTGCCTTCTCGTGACGGACAACTTCTCACCCCCTCTCCCTGCTCAGCCCCTGACCCTATTCTTTTTGCAGCTTTTCTTTGTGAAAGCTGACTGAGCTATGCCAGCGACCCACACACCATCCAGTTCACCCGTTCAAAGTGGACAGTGGCTTTTCGTACCGGCACAGCTGTGGGCCCGTCTCCACAGCCGGCTTTAGAATATTTCCGTCACCTGGAGAGAAAACCTGCACCCACAGCCGTGGCTCCCATCCAGCCCTCACCCCCAGCCCCCGGCAATCACCGGTCTGCTTCCCCTTCCTGCCGCTGGCCCGATCGAACAGCTCGCATGCCTGAAGTGCTGGGCTGTGGCTTTTGTGGGACCGGCGTAGTGTTTTCACGGGAGCGCCTCACTCCTCCTTTCGGCCGGGCGATGTTCCATCCTATTGCCGTCCCTTTTGTTTATCCGCCCGTTGGTTTAGGGACATATGCGTTGTTTCTACTTTTGTGCGATTATAAATACCGGCCGTGATGAACATTGTGTGTAAAAATGTTTGTGTGGACATATGTTTTCATTTCTCTCGGGGATATATTTAGCAGTGGAATTCTTTTGTAACTTTTTTATTATGAAAACTTTCAAATGAACATAAAAGTAGACGGAGTGGTACAGGGAACCCCTCCCTCTCTCCCCCCCGCCCCAGTCCCATCTCCAGCACTCATCACCCAACCTCAGCAGTCATTAGCGGACGGCCACTCTTGTTTCGTATATGGGGCTATTTCGAGGCGAGCGCCAGAGCCACCATTTCATCTGTAAACACCAGTGTCTTTAAAAAAAATAAGAACCTCTTACAAAATAATTCCAATGCCATGAGCATACCTGGACCAATAGCATCATCAAGTATTCCCAGTATTCACGTTTAGCTAGTTGCCTTGCCTTCCCCCTGCCTCCCTCCCCGCCCCCCATCTCCACCCCCACTGGCTCATCCAAATCATGTTCCAAGGGCCCCTCCTGGCATTTGGTTGAAAGGTTTCTCCAGAATCTCATCTCTGGGGACCACTCCTCCTTTCTGTCTTCCTCCTGGAGGGTGTGCAGGCAAAGTGGGGCTTGGTGTCCGGCAGAGGTCCTCACAGCCTGGTTCTGCTCATCTCACCGCTGTGTCCCTTTCACAGCCCTGCGTGCCCTGACTGCAGTGAGGTCTACACACCTGACTTGGTTTCGGGTTGTTTATTTGTGTGTGTTTTTTCTTTAAAAAAAAAAAATGTAAATCGTTTTTATTTTTCAATTACAGTTGACATACAATATCATATTTCAGGTGTACACCCCAGTGACTAGACATTATATAATTTACCAAGTGATCATCCTGATAAAACTTATACCCGTTTGACATAATCCATAGTTAGAATGTTATTGACTGTATCCCCTATGCTGTACTTTATATCCCCATGACTATTCTATGACAACATATTTGTACTTAATCCCTTCACTTTTTTATCCATCCCCCCAACTCCATTCCCATGTCAACATCAAAATGTTATCTGTATCTACGAGACTATTTCTGTTCTGCTTGTTCATGTGTTTTTAAATTCCATTGTTGATAGATATGTATTAATAGCCATTTTATTGTTCATATTTTTTTTCTCTCCTCCCCCTTCTTATTCTTAAAGAAGAACCATTAATATTTCATGTAATTCTGGTTTGGTGGTGGTGAACTCCTTTAGCTTTTTCTTGTCTAGGAGGCTCTTTATATATCCTTTGATTCTAAATGATAAGCTTACTGGGTAGAATAATCTTGGTCCTTACTTTTTGTCATTTTAATTATTTTTTGCAAATCCCTTCTGGCTTGAAAAGTTTCTGTTGAGAAATCAGCTGAGAATTTTAGGGGAACTTCGTTACAGGTAATTAAATGCTTTTTTTCTTGTGCTTTGAAGATTCTCTCTCTGTCTTTAACCTTTAGCATTTTAATGATGATATATCTTGGTGTGGGCCTGTTTGGGCTCATCTTGTATGTTTATTTGTTTATAAAATTATCCCTGTTGTTGGAAGGATTACAGATGTCCCCCATTTCCCCCCCACTGACCCCCCTCCTCCCCAGCCCCTTCCAGGCCTTTGCCACACTGCTGTCTGTGGCCATGGGTTACACATATATGCATATAAATTCTTTGGTTAATCTCTTCCCTCTAACCCCTGCTTCCCCACTTTTCTCTGAGCTCCGTCAGTCTATTGCATGTTTGCTGTCTCTGGACCCGTTTTGTTTGTTGGGTTATTTTTTTTTAAAGGAACACTCCATGCTTTCCACGAGCCCAGCCAGGAGACAGCACCGGCCCAGCAGTGAGTCCTGTCCGGGGGGTGCTCGCAGGCATTCGCTGGGGGTGCATTGATCCCCCAGCCCTTTGCCCGCCCACCGTGGGGCCTGGCGGGTGCGGTGTGTGCCTCACCAGCCACCCCACCGCGTCCGCTGGGCCTGAAGGTGGTTTGGCTCCTCCGGGTGATGCCCTGCTGTCCGTCCGCAGGCCCGCGCCCACATGCCGCCCCCCCACCTCGCCGCAACCCCCCGATGCTGCGCATGGTGCTGGAGGCGCTGCAGGCGGGCGAGCAGCGCCAGGGCACCTCGGTGATGGCCATCAAGGTGTACATCCTGCAGAAGTACCCGACGGTGGACGCCATCCGGCTCAAGTTCCTGCTGAAGCGGGCCCTGGACACCGGCATGCAGCGTGGCCTCCTCAGCAGGCCCATCAACTCCAGGGCCCGGGGGGCCACCGGCAGCTTCAAAGTGAGTCGGAGGGGGGCTGGGGGGCACTCAGCCAGGGCTAAGCTTCAGCTCCAGCTCGCTCTTCCTGACCTCTGTGTGCCGGTTCCCCTGTCTCCCTGTCTTCTCTCCTTTTTCTCTTTTTTTTCAAATACATTTTATTGATTTTTTTTTTTTACAGAGAGGAAGGGAGAGAGAGAGTTAGAAACATCGATCAGAGAGAGTCATCGACCAGCTGCCTCTTGCACACCCCCCTACTGGGGATGTGCCTGCAACCAACGCACATGCCCTTGACCGGAATCGAACCTGGAACCTTTCAGTCTGCAGGCTGATGCTCTATCCACTGAACCACACCGGCTTCGGCTGTCTTCTCTCCTTTTTCCCGTGTGTTCTCGGGGACGCCCCCTTCCCCAGGAGGGCTGGTGTGTGAGCCCCATCGGAGTCCCTACACAGCTCTGGTCACCCTGCTGTGTCCTCCTCCATCCCTGTCAGCTCTGTTCAGTGGCCAGGGACCATCTCCACTGTGTTCCCCTCTGCCCACAGCCCTTTCCTGGAACTCCCTCACTCTTGGCGAGGCCGCCCAGCCTCGGGCCCCGGCCTCAGGGTCAGGTTTACCCTCCCCCCTTCCCCCAATGCTCTCTGGCTCCAAACCGAGGCTGGCGCCCGCCTGAGCACCACACCCTCCGCTGTCAAAGGGGAGGGTCCCAAAGGGGTCAGATGTGTCACAAAATTGAACCCCAGCACCATGCCCGCCAGCTGCCACCGGGGAAATCTCAGGGGCCCAGGCGTGGGTCTGCCTGGTCCGTGCTGCGCCCCGGTGGGCAGCAGTTGCTCTGGCAGTTGCCATGGAACGTTCTCAGCCTGCTGTGTTCCAGTCCCGGTGGGAATGGTGGCCGGGCACAGGAAGTCCCAGCCCTGCAGGACACCTGCCCGCGGGCCAGAGCGTGGACAGCCATGGCAAGGCCCGGGGCTGGGGTGGGACGGGGAGAAGAGAGGGGTGCTGGGGTGCTCGTGGCTGGGGTGCTCCTAGGGCCTAGGAGCTAACCCGGAGAGCGGGCCGCGGCGGTGGGAGGCAGGGAAGGGCTCAGGGCGCTCGGTGTTAGGGGTGTAATAATCTGTGAGGTGAGAGTGGGGTTGTTTCCGGTCTGGGTGGGAGCTGGGGAGCCAGGAGGGCTGGGGGCGAGGGGGCAGCATCGTCACAAGTAGACTCCAGAAGGCAAGGAGCACGTTTCTGCCAGGGGCCCTTGCATCCCCTGATGTGCTCACCTCCTCCGACGGCTCCCTGGTAAAGACGGGAAGACTCGGCCAAGATGCACACGGGTGTGTGTGTGTGTGTGTGTGTGTGTGTGTGTGTGTGTAAGTGCCAGGCCGTGTGGCCGGGGAGTCCATGTTCCTCTGGCGGGCACAGCGGGCGGGCGAGGCGGGGAGTGGGGGACCTGGCAGTGTGCCGTGGGGCAGGCTTTGGTGGGGAGAGGGAGGGCGAGTCGGAGCCTCAGTCCATGGACCGTGTGGGCAGGGAGGATGCCCAAGGAGGCTCACAGCTCAGCCTCTCGGGATGGCTTCGGGGCTCACAGAGGCATCATTTGCTCCCAGGAGCCTGGCTTTGACGCTTCCAGATTGGGGGGAGGAGCGGGGCACCGCGGCCTCGGGAAGCAGGAAGGGGGCAGCTTGGGTGAGACGGGAGACTCGGGCCCGGCTCCTGAGTGGCAGCAGCCCTGGCTTGCAGGGCAGAGAGAGGCCTGAATGTGCTCCTGGCGGCAGGCGTTTGGCAGGCGGGTGTGTGTCCTCTCCCGTGCCCTGACCACCTCCTTCGTCTCCCCCCTTTTTGAAGGGGGCCATCTTCCCTGAGCTTCGCATTGGGGCTAGGGGCATGAGCCCCCAGAACCTCCGCTCTCAACCCCACCCCGTCCTCTCCTCTGCCAGTTAGTCCCCAAGCAGAAGAAGAAAACCCAGCACAGGAAGACAGCCACCGTGGCGGCCCCCCGGAGGCCCAGGGAGGCCAAGGAGGAGGCCCCCAAGAGAGATGGCCAGGCCAAGGGTGAAGAGGCGAGAGGGGGCAAGACGGCCAGGAAGGCCCCCCAGCAGGCAGACAAGGTCCCGAAGGCCCCTCCCGGTGCCAGCGGGCCCTACGGGAAGTTAAAGGTCAAAGGCAAGAAGGACAGCTCAGGTAGGCGTGTGAAGGGCAGGGAAGAGGGCGTGGCAGCCACTGGAGGTGAGGATGGAGGGGCTGGCTCTGGGGAGGGGATTTCCTAGCTGGCACCTGCACCCTGAGCAGCAAGCTCCACCTGGACAGACGGAAGGAAGTCATAGAAGCTGATTGGGGGGAGGGGGAGGAGCCTGATTCATCCCTAAGAGAGTCAGGGAGGGCTTCCTGGAGCAGGTGTCCTAGGCAGAAGAGCAGCCTATGCAAAGGCCTGGAAAAATGAAGAAGGCAATGCATTTGACGTGAAAATGGTTCTGTGTGCAGTTCGGGGGGCGAGGGGGGCGGATAGAGGGGCTGCAGCAGGGGGAGGCTGGGAAGGGCAGCCAGAGACTGGACTTGATCTGGAGAACAGCGAGGAGCCAAGGGAAGACTCTGACAGGGAGCAGCGAGGGGCTGAGGCATTTTCACTGTATCTCAGCCGCCATGTGGGTCATGGACTAAAGACTGGAGGCCCAGGAGCCTGTTAGGCCCTTTGTTGTGGGAGAGCGCAGAGCACTGGGGTCAGAGCAAGGGAAAGAGGCCAGAGGAGGCAAGGCTGAGAGTGAGGGACGGCCACCCCCGGCCCAGCGCCTTCTCCGACGATGCTGTTGGGAGATGCTGAGGCTCAACCATTTGCCCCCAAGCCAGTCGGTGGCATTGTGAGGAGTGGGGGGTCGGGCGGGACCAGGGCTCCGGAGCCCCTGAGCCTTCCCGCCCACCAGCAGCTCCTCCCGAGAGGGCTCCTTCCCCCATACTCTCCCCGCTTCCCAGCAGATGCCAAGGCCCACAGGAACGCCAAAGCTGGGACTCAGAGTTCAAAGCCCACAGTCCCCAAGGTAGGTGCCTGTGCGGCTCCCCTGGCCTGGGTCTGCCCCCCACTCCCGCACAGGCCACTGTTTGGGCCCCCGCCCCGGGCCCCTGGAAGTCAAATAGAGAAGAGGGGGCCACTTGTTTTCCTACAAAGCACAGTGCAGCCTCTCCTCCAGGCCCTCCGGCACCCCGGTTTCACAGGAGAGAGACTGAGTCTCAGGGCAGGGAGGCCTCTGGGCCAAAGACACCCAGCGCCGGGTGCCCCTCCCCGCCAGCTCGCCGCCCGGCCCCTCGGCTTACTCCCTTACAGAGTGAAAACGGAGTGGCCGCCCCGGCCAAAAAGAAGACGGGGAACAAGGCCCTTAAAGAGGCCGCTGCCCAGGGCGCCAGGAAAGGGCCGAAAGCCAAAGCTGCCGCCGCTGCTGCTGCCACCGCAGCAGCTCCTAAGGACGGCGAGCCCAAGGCGGGCCCGGGACCGCCCAAGAGGAAGACGGAGGCCCCCCGGGGCCCCCGGAGGCCTGGCCCGCCCACCGAGGAGACCGGAGTGAAGGCCGAGGCCAGGAGCTAGAGGCGGGGTGGATAGACACAGAGTTTTTATTCCCCCAAAAAACATCACTTTATTTTACTGTAACCACCTACTTATCAATAAAGAATTTTCTTTTTCTCCCTCTCAAACTGGTGTGGAAGAAGGCGGAGGCCTAAGGGTCTGGCCGTGCAGGGCCAGGGCCCAGGTAGAAGCTCCCGTGGTGTATAATCCTTTTTATTTTATTTTATTTTAAACTAGAGACCTGGTGCATGTACAAAACTCTCATGGGGGGGGGGGGGGGGGGCGGGTACCGTACAACGGAAAGGGCTGGTGCGGGGATCGGAGGGCACAGCAGAGGCGTTGAACGCAGCTGGAGGTCTGGGACTGCTGCCTGGAGGAGGAGGCAGCTTTTGGCCTTAAGGATGAGCGGGAGGAGCTGGAGGAACGGACGGGCATTGCAGGGAGAGGCCCTGCACACCTGCGGTGTGGTGGGAAGAGGGGGATTTGTGGCTGTGAGAGCAGCACGGGGGAGGGTGGGCATGCAGACTGGGGAAGGTGGGCCTTCTCTCTGGGGTCGTGGGGACCCCAGCCAGGGAGGTTAGAGGCAGGGGAAGCGATGGTGGGTAGGTTTAGAAAAAGCCCTCCGGCTGTGAGGAGAGAGGAGAGAGGCTGAGAGGCGTTAGGGACCACTCCACAGCTGGTTACTGAGCACCACCTCTCTAATCAGCAGCAGCAGGAGGAGGGGTGAGGCCTGAGGTGGGCACTTGCTGAGCAGGCCTAAGGAGCTGCGGGCAGGCCCGCGTGGCTGCAGCCCACGGAGGGGGAGCAGCAACGGGACGCGAAGCCTGGGCCCTTTAAGAATGGCTGTGGCATCTCCCCAGCGAGAGGTGGAGGCCGGGTCCTGGGCCTCGACTCCGGGCTCGGTGATTGCTTGACGGATATGGCAGCGTGGACCTGACAGGAAGGGCCCAAGACCTTGGGACACTAGAAGCTTCTATACTTCCTGTGTGTTTTTTAAATCCCCATCCCCTCACCCCACCCCCCTTGGGCATCCATCAGCCTGTCCTCTGTATCTACTGGCCTGTTTCTGTTTTGTTTAGTCATTTGTGTGGCTTTTGTGTGTGTTTTTTTTCGATTCCACATGTAGTAAGTGAAACCATACAGTGTTTGTCTTTCTCTGACTTATTTCACTTGGCACAATACCCTCCAGGCCCATCCATGGTGTCATACATGGTAAGATTGCACTCTATTTTTTATGGCCGAGTAATATTCCATTGTGTGTATGTACCACATCTTCTTTATCCTTTCGTCTTATCGATGGGCCCCTCGGCTGCTTCCATATCTTGGCTGCTGTAAAGGATGTTGGCAATGACATTGGATAGGATAGGGGTGCATATATCTTTTTGAATTAATGTTGTTGTTTTTCCTTTGGATAAATACCCACAAGTGGAATTGCTGGATCCCATGGCACATGTATTTTTAACTTTTTTTGAGGGATTGCCGTACTGTTTTCTTCCTGGTGGCTGCGTCATTATACAATCCCACCAGCAGTGCAGGCGGGTTCCCTCTTCTCCTCCCTGTCGCTCATTTGTTGACTCATTGACGACAGCCACCCTGGCAGGTGTGAGGTGATGGATAGCTCATTGTGGTTTTAGTGTGCATCTCCCTGCTAGTGAGGAATGGTGCCAATCTTTTTGTACGCCTGTTGGCTATCGCTCCGTCCTCGGTGGAGGAGTATCTATTCAGGTCCTCTGCCCAGTTTTTAATTGGATCGTTTGGGGGTTTTCTTGGCGTTAAGTTATATAAGTTTTGTGTGTTTTTTTTAATCTATTTTGGATGCGAGCCCTGTATTGGATGTACTATACCACTTGCAAGTATCTCCTCCAGTTTCGTAGGTTGTCTTTTCGCTGCGTTGATGCTCTCCTTTTCTGTTCAAAAACTTCCAGTTTGATACAGAGCTATTTGTTTGTTTTTCCTGTTGTTGGCCTCGCCCAAGGAAACATCTCCACAAAGACACTGCTCCAGGGGGCGTCAGAGCTTACTGCCTGTGTTTTCTTCGGGAGTTTCCTAGTTTCAGGTCTTTAAGTCTTTAATCCATTTTTTTAGTTTATTTTTGTACAGAGGGGGGAAAAATGGTTCACTTTCACTTTTTTTTTTGCATGTATTTGCTGTTTTCCCAGCACCACTTATCGAAGAGACTGTCTTGACTCCATTGTATATCTCTGCCTCCTTTGTCATAGATTAATTGACCATATAAACAAGGATTTATTTCTGGGCTCTCTTCTATTGCATGCAAGTTCCATGCTGGGGTTTTTTGTTTTTGTTTTAAATATATTTCTATTGATTTCTGAGAGGAAGGGGGGAGAGAGAGAGAGAAACATCAATGATGAGAGTCATTGATCAGCTGCCTCCTGCATGCCGCCTACCAGGGACCTAGCCCGCAACCCAGGGCATGTACCCGTGACTGGAATCAAACCTGGGACCCCTCACTCCACAGGCCAACGCTCTATCCCCTGAGCCAAACCGGCTAGGGCCCATGCCGTTTTTTATTATTCAATTAATTGTTGTGACACTGGTTAACTATACAGGTTTTAGGTGTACAGCTCTATAGTGCCTCATGTGACATTGTGTGTCTATCACCCCAAGCTACCATGCTGTTTTGGTTATTGTAGCTATGTAATATAGTTTGATATCAGGGGATATTTTGTTCTTTTTCAAGATCTCTTTAGCTGTTTGGGGTCTTTGTGGTTTCCTATGAATTTTAGGATTAATTCTAATTCTGATATTTTAATAGGGATGGCATTGAATCTGTATATTGATCGCCTTAGGTAATAAGGATGTTATTATTAAAATCATTCTAAACCACAAACAAAATAGATCTTCCACTTATTTGTATCTTCTTTAATTTCTTTTTCCAATGTCTTCAGAGTATAGGTCTTTCACCTCTCTGGTTAAATTTATTCCTAGGCATTTTGTGCTTTCTGATACAATTGTACTAATAAATGGGATGGTTTCTTAATTTTTCCTTTTGATAATTTATTGTTGGTGTATAGAAATGCAACAAATACTGATCTGCATGTTGGTATCCTGCAACTTTACTGAATTCATTTATTAGTTCTAATAGTTTGTTTTTGTGGCCTTTGGGGTCTTTATATGTGGTATCATGTTATCTGCTAATAATCGGTGTTTGACTTCTTCCTTTCTGATTTGAATGCCTCCTATTTCTTGTTCGGTTGCTGTGGCTGGGACTTCCAGCGCCGTGCTGAACAGAAGAGGAGACAGGAGGCACCCTTGTCTTGTTCCTGAACTTAGAGGAAGCGCTTTCAGCTTTTCACCTGTGCGTGCGGTGTTAGTGAGTTTTCATATACAGTATTACGCTGAGGCATATTCCTCCTGTACCGCTTTGTTGAGAGTTTTTATCATAAATGTTGAACTTTGTCCAATGCTTCTTCTGCACCTATAATCATATGATTGTTTTATTTTGTTAACGTGATGTATCGTGTTAATTGATATTTACTGGTGTTGAACCATCCTTGCATCCCACTTGGCCATGGTATAAAATATAATCCATTTTATTTTATTTATCTTATTTTATTTTAATTAATTAATTAATTTATTTATTTATTTCATTTTATTTTATTTTTTATTTTTATTTTTTATTTTATTATATTATATTATATTATATTTTATTATTTTATTTTATTTTATTTTATTTTATTTTATTATTTTATTTTATTTTATTATTTTATTCTATTTTAAACTAGAGACCTGGTACATGAAAATCGATGCACTGGTGTGGGGTCCCTCAGCACAGCCTGCTCCCTCTCACAGTCCTGGAGCCCTCAGGGGTGGGAAGAGACCCAGCAATTGGGAAGGCGACACCCCCATCGTACCGCTGCTGCTGCCACTGCCAGCAGTGCAACCCTTGGCTGGCCCTGGTTACCTGAGCCTAGGGCAGCCCTGGGCAGTTGGGCAGCCACCATCTGAGGCTTGCCTGTGCCACTGGTGGGCCCTGGGCAGCTGGGGGGCTGAGGAGACTGGATGCTGCCATCTTGTGGCTCTGGGTGCCGCCATCTTTGAGGGCATGGCAGTCAATTAGCATATTCCCTCCTTATTGTCTGTGGGCGCCACCATCTCTGCAACTGTGTGAGGGTCAATTAGCATATTCCTTCTTTATTAGATAGGATTATTTATTTGTATGAATTCTCACCCAAGGATCCCCCCCCCCATTGATTGAAAGGGAGAGTGAATGGGAGGGCAGGGGGGAGGAGCCATTGATAAGAGAAAAATATCGATGTAAGAGAGAAAAATTGATGGGCTGTCTCCCGCATGCACCCAGACTGGGGTGGAGGATTGATCCCAGGCAGGTGCCCTTTGGTGCATGGGTGAGTGCTCTAACCACTGAACTCACCAGCTAGGGCTATAATCCTTTTTTATTTTTAAATTAAATCTTTATTGTTGAAAGTATTACATATGTCTCTCCCCCCACCACCACCACCCCCGCCCCAGCACTGATCCCTTCTGGCTCACCCCCTCCCCCACCCAGGCCTTCACCACCCTATTGTCTATGTCTCTGGGTTATGCATATGTGCATACAAGTAATTTGGTTGATCTCCTCCCACCCACCCTCCTCCACTTTCCCTTTGAGATTCCGCAGTCTGTTCTATCCTTCTATATCTATGGGTGTATTTTGTTAATCAGTTTATTTTGTTCATTAGATTCCACATATAAGTGAGATATGTGCTACTTATCTTTCTCTGATTGGCTTATTTCACTTAGCATAATACTCTCCAGGTCCCTGTATGCTGTCTCAAGGGTGAGAGATCCTTCTTTCTTACTGCTGCCTTGTATTCCGTGGTGCAAATGTACCACAGCTTTTTTACCCACTCATCTGCTGATGGGCACGTGGGCTGTATCCAGAGCTTAGCTATTGTAAATTGTGCTGCTATGAACATAGAGGTGCAGACATTCTTTCTGATTGGTGTTTCGGGTTTCATAATCCTGAAAGTGGGATCACTGGGTCAAATGGCAGTTCCATATTT